ATTCATCGGGAATAAAGTTTGGTGGATCGAGTGGTATGACAAAGCGATCGTTCAAGCATGAAAGATTCATCGAATTTTATGGCTCGTTGCTCCTTAGTAAGATACAATCATCGGGACTTCTTCTTTTGTTTATGTTTATAAACTAGACTACTTTACTGTGATTTTATTATTACACAAAGCATCAAATACTTCTAAAAATAAATACCTATATGACAAATTTCCCAACAGAAATTCTTACGTATTAAAATTTACATATTTAATTGAGAAATGCGAAAAATGCTTATATTACTTTCTGACACCTCTAAGATATGGAGCAGAATATATAGTCTTGCTCCATTTCAGAAAAGCTTATCGAAATGTTGATTCTAATTCGATGGAAAGAAATCGAATAAACATACGAGCCGTCAAAGTCCAATTTTTGTCCGAAGTTTGTTGCTGTCAATGACACATCAAGGTAATGGGCATAGATCAAAGGGTATCAAAGTATCTTTACGTAAACGACAACTTATATTTGCGTTTCCGTCACTCGCGTCGGAACGATAATACGTAGGAGGGAAGAGAAAGGGGAAGCCGTGAAACCACGAAAAGCGAGAACGTGAGCTTCGACGGCCATGACGATCTCGTACCGACGCATCATTGGTGGACAGGCTACGAAATTAATACGAAGCAAACGGCCATCTTGTCCCTGTACCGAATCTACGTACGTATACGAAAAGGGGTTCTAATGTGCCACGGTGTATGGATATCGTAGAGCCGCGTTACTCGAGTCACCGCGTCCATGTATACATTCGCACGCATACACGAGCGCGCGCGCGCGCGCGAGAAAGAGAGAAGGGAGAAGAAAGAAGAGAGAGAAAGACAGAAAGACAGAGAGAGAGAGAGAGAGAGAGAAAGAGAGAGAGCTTGTGCGTATACACACGTAAGTATGAGAAGGTCGCGGACGTGTGCGTGAAGATTGATTATACCGCGGGAGAAAATGTGATCAATAGCTCAACAAACAAAGGCCTCCGACGCCTATATAATGCAAATAGCAAAAATCGCGGAGGATTAAGGGAGTTGCGAAAGTAGGGGACGTGGAACGGGGAGGTGGAAGGCGGCGTGAGGTAGGGTGGTGTGTGATGGTCAAGAAACAATACGGACGCGTGCGGCTACTTCAAGTTTGCTTGACACCACCGCGCAGGCAGCCCTTGCGCGCACCCTCTGCACCCTCCGACTTCGCACCCTCCGGTTCTTCCCTCCGAGTCAGCTTGGAACCCACCGTCCTCTCGCTTTAATTTGCATACGACCGATCATGTCTTCCGACTCGCCTTCACATCCTCGTCGCCATACCTCGCGACCATCGATCAAGCCCCGATTGTTTTTGCTCTAACTCATCCCCACTTCGCCAGCCGGATTGGACGCCTTCGTGCTGGGGGTTGCTCGTTGGTCACTACCCCACACGTACGTCTCCTGTGCTCGCACACCGACTTTGTATGGCCCTTCAGCAGCCGAGAATCTCGCTAACGAGGGGTTCTCCTTCTACCGATGACATTGTTCCAACGTAGAAAACCTGCCAACATCCGCCAACCCTTGCCACCACGGCGCCCGGCGATATAATTCTCCGCTCTTACTTCTTTCCTATCCTCCAACTTTTTCCGTAATACCGGAAATAAATAGTTTAAGTGATTGATTATCGAAATGCCTTTTCATATAACACCTATTGTCGTAAATAATTAATTTTTCGATTCTCCAAAAAGCTTCTTTTTCGAGAACATTCAATTATTAATGTACTATCCGAGATTAATTAATCATTTCATTTATCACGTATGAAAAGATAAAATCATCTAATTTTATGAAAACTAATGACGAAACGCGGTATCATATTTTCTCATGAGGCAAATACAAAATTACTCGCGAGATGCGTCAAGACCGAAATTCCCAAGTAAGATTGAAATTCAATATTGCGAGTGACATGCGGTCGCAACAATCGAGGTTTTTACCCAGAAACATTCAATTTCGCTAAAGCTGGCCGACCCTCGCGCAGTCATCTCTGAGCAACATATGGCTATTAATATTATTGATATCCCAGCTATCTAACTGTGAGCCGAAGAGAAACCTTCTATTATCTACGTTACAGCCATGGGAACATGTCAGGTTGCATTTCGGATCGTAAAATGTCGCGCGTGATATTACAAGGTAATTCAGTACTAAATTTTGCCGGCCAATAATGGACACTATATAATCAACGTACGTGTATTTTTATCAGATTGATCAATAGATTTGGCGTAGTGGATTTGATTTGAAAATCGCGTAGAACTGAATAAATACAACGCGAAACACAGAATGAGTATTCTCTCAAATGTTCAATAAAAATATGCAAAGTAGCCAATGAGAGTCTGAATGCAGAGTGTCAAAGGCAAATCGTGTTAAAAGATGTATTATCAAACGTTTTGATCTGGATTCTTATCAATTGGAACGGAAAAACTCACAACTGTTACGAAGAAATAAGAAATATACATCATCTTAATTCACCAGGAGATTCGTTCTCTCTGAAAATGAAATCACATGCCATACAGTTTAAAATAGTTCCGCTGGCTTTCAAGTCCAATTTTGTTTCATATTTCGCTCCACACAGTTCACTAGCTGAAGAAACGCATGGTCACATATTGCGTTGTCGACGTGGATTTCTGGTTTTATCCGCATCGTTAAACAGTGCTCGCGAAAGAAATGGAAAGTGAGAATCGATGGACTCTCCCCCAACGCAACGCCAAATGCGAGGGACGATTGGCCGTCGTGTAAAAAAAGCAAAGGAGAAAAAGAAAACACATCACCAAGTCGCCGACGTATCGTAAGTTCGTCGATCGACATGGTGTTAATTCCACCTGTCCTTCGTTTCAGGTTTCCCTCATGACGATAACCTATCCCATCGTCGCTAATGGTGGACATTATTGCGAGCGATCGCGGCAACTTCGGAAACTTATCCCTATATAAGCCACCCCCGCCGGCAGCAACCACCCCCTTCTACCTGACGGTATATCGAACGTCAATGCGTACTTATCTACACCCGTGTCGGTTCTTACGTGCATGTCGCTATGTGCGTGTGACATCGCCGCGCACAGGTCGCACTCGCACACATCGCCGCGTACGTCCACACACGCATAATCGTGCACAGGTAGAAGTAGCGCTATCGATTACAGCTGAAACGGAGGACAATCGACAGGTAGCCGTTCCTAATAAATAAACTAAAGGGTAAAAACGTGCAAGTTTGCCGCGTGCGTCAAGGATCTTCGATTTTTGCTACTGCGATGAGTCATAGGGTGATAAGAGACACCAGAGGAATGTAGTTAATTTCGTTAGATCGTAAACAATTCGAGCGCGCGGCACACTCGCTACTATCGCATCAGCCGACGTGACTAAATACGCCAGCCGGCGAGCAATAACGAAGGGCAATTATTTCTACCGGAGAAATTAAATTTATCCGAGGGGATAGACTCGCAAGACGCGAAATCAAGACAATCGACAAAGCTCCGCAGCGCTGTTGTCGGAGGTGCGAATTTTGCAAAATTAAAGTCGCTGCTTCTCAATTAACCCCGGCGCGCGGAAAAAAGAGACGTCGCCTCGGTGAGGAAAAACAATTGATACGATCTCGTTCACGTAGCTCGTTGCGCCACGGTGCGAACGCATTCGGCTTTAAAATCGTCCCACTCTACACGTCCCTCTTTGATCGGCTTTCTCTTTCCCTCCCTGCGGCAGCAGCCTACCGTTCCCTGTATTCCCTCGCGCACACCCATCCACGTGAACCCCCGCGGAACACGTGGATAGCTTTCGAGTGCTCACGATTCATCGCGATTGATTGCGGGCACAGTGGCAACATGACGATTGCCGTACGCTCTATTCGCCGGGATAATTTTTTGCCGCCGGTAGCGCCACTCGATTCTTCCAACATCCCGGATTCGTCCTCGTTATGGAGATGGAAAAACAAGACGCCGCGGCCGAGCACTGTAATTATTATGTGCAAATCGATGACGCATTAATGAGGGGAGGGATGTGCCTCGTATACACGTCGCTACAGGCAATATCACGTATATAGTATAGTCACGAGTCTTTTTTTGTCTAGTGGACTATACTTAAAATTTTCCCGTAATTGTCATTGACATCTTGTGAGGTCCTCAACTTCTATATCGACATTTTTATTTTTATGCAAATTCGAGAGAATCATCGCCCATAATTTATGATTAAAATTATATACGGGGAGTATAAAGGAGATAATATATAGTCAGCTAATATGTGAAGAGTAAAATTTCTCGCAAAATTATATATACATATGCCGCTAACAAGAAGAGATTTGTGATATCGTGTTTGTTATCACGGTGAACTTCAGAAATTGAGTGTCGAAGCGACAGAATGGTCGATGACACATATCGTAAATTATTACCGATTCGATAATTGAATGACAATTCAGCCAATGCAATCGACCCAATTGAACCTCTCTATACCTAATTTAATCTGCGGTAATTACATTCAGACTCGCCAAGATTTAAAGTTATCCTCTACTAAGCGTTCACTATTGATTTCCGTATATATTCCCGATAAAATTAATAAAGAGCTTCTGTGGTAAGCTCCTTACTAGGTTCGGCCCCAGATAAACGATGCCCGAAGTGAATCGCACGGAGGAGGGAGAAGCTCGTAAATGTGATTCTATATTTGCGTCGATAATAATGTAGTTACGTTCCATCTCCATTTAATCGTCCCGAGTCGATTTCCTGATGAGCAATGCGAGAGTACTCGGCGATATTTCAGGAAGTAGCAATCCCCGTGATTTACATCGCGCGACGTCTTCCTTAACACGGAGAATTTTATCGCCATTGTCATTCAATAAACATAACGAGCGCGAGAGACACCGCCTCGCAGGAAATATTAAACGTGCAAAGCTTTAAAGTTGATTTGCGTATTCGCAAATTCTTTTGCAGCGTGTGCTTTTCTGTCGCAATTTTTCACGGAAATAATATTGTTATTTTCAGATCAGCCAACTGGTCGAGGAGGTGTCCAGACTACAACAGAGTCTGCAACGCCTTCAGGAGACAAGCGCGCAGGCAACGGCGCGGCTCGAAGAGGAGCTCGAGGCGCGCAGGCAGCACATCAGCAGACTCGAAAGCAAATTGGAACGGCAGAGGGATTATGACGACCTAAAGCGCGAAATCAATGTACTAAGGTCAGTCGACCTTTCGCAGATTCCAACCGGCGAGCCTGGCAAGAGTTTAGAACACCTTCTTATGGAGCGTACCAAGGCGTTGCAACAAGCCGAGAACTTGAAACCATCCAATACACCCGATGCACTCGGTAAGTGGACCAACTTAATACTTCAACTGAAATCATTATACGAGGCATCTAGCGCTTTAAGATACTAAGAAATGAAAAAAAAGAGAGAATGCATAACTCATGTCGTAAGATGCGCAATTGTAGCAATGTAACTGCGTGAAACTGTAAATTTACAGCAAAAATAGTCATTTTGAAAGTAGGTATTAGAAGATGTTTCAAACTATGAACTGTATAATACTGTAATTGTAAATGATGATTCGTACGTATATAAGAAAAAAAAATGAAAATGTTCATAATATTTACACAGTGGAACGTATAATCATACTAGAAACTTGCTTCGAAATCAGGAAGTAGAACTTAGTTAGGAAGGAAAGAGCAAGTAACGAGGTGTCAGTAGGCCGGTCACACCTCTGTGATTTTGCTTCTGATTCTTGCACTACCGCTCTGATCTTCGGTCCCCGACTCTCTCTCTTCGAGGCTCCGTCAACGGGCTTTATCATCGAGTAACAATGAAAAGGACACGAGTCACGCAACGCGGACGCAAGAACGCTTCTATAGAATAAACGAGGGATGACTGAAGGAGCTTATTGGAAAAGAGAACAACAAAAATAACCCTGCTTGCCATTGTGTTCGCACTGTTTCTTTGACTCTCTATCTCTCGTCTGTGTCTTTCTCTGCCTCTCTTACTCTCTCCCCTGTGAGATCTCTATTCATCTCTCACTCTCTTCCTCTATATTTCTTTCTCTCAATTCTATTACCTTTCTGTTTGTACCTCTCTCTCATATACATACTACGTTTCTCCGAATTTTCGCTGCTTAGGCTGCACTTTTTCGAGCCATTATCTCGCTAATACGTATATTAACGTACATTCGTGGAAGGTACTAACTAAAACGCAATCGAAAACACACGTTATAACTTTACCCAGAGGCCTATCTCACTCCACGGGCCTACCTCTTACCGAATGCTCCAAACGTCCTGTTCCCTCTCTTAGTCGCGTAGAGGGTCTCTTTAAACCACCCCCGTTACCCTCCCCCTCTACCACCATCCGCACACTAGGGAACGCAAACCTCGTGCACGCAAATTTGTGAACGATATTCGCAATATTTGCCCAGTCCAGGCCATTGTTTCGAGGAGTTTATTGCAAATCGATCCAAACTGATAGAGCGAGCACACGATAAGTTGGAATGAGAAAGAGACACCCCATATATACACACGCCAGAGTGCCAGAGAGATACTGCAACATACCACCCCTTCTGATTCAAGCCCACCCTTCTACGTCGTCGTCGTGATCCTGTCTACTCGATCCCTACTCCACTGCTCCCTTCAACCATAACGGGTTAAAAGTACCGTTACTACACGGAAAGTCCAATGTTAAACATTTTCTCTATACATCGAAACCACGATATAACAACCAAACAGAACTTCTTAACGTTTTTGAGTTCAGCTCGATTTTAAAAGACCACAGTACCTCCCATACAGTCACATAGAGCGTTCTGTATTTTGTTTTCAATCCTGCGACACATCCTGACGTCTGTGACAGCTGTCGACTCGCGACACGAAGATATCTTATTCGACGCGATTTCTCGAATCCACATGCGTCATCGCGATCAACGTTCGGCGCGAGATGGATGTTATCCATACGCGTAATTTCTTTCGGGCCGGTCGACAACGTCTCCACAGTCTTCCTCTCGTTGGCGTCCACGTCGTTCCTCGTTTGTACACTCAAGCGTGGACTATGACCCGACGAAGCGTCGAAAAAGAGAGTCTCGGTCATTCGTCGTCCCGGAAGATGATCAAGAGTGCCGGAATCATCGTTCGGTTTCGAAAGAGACAGCGCGTACGGACCGGTGATCAGAACGAGAACAGCGATCCTGATGTTCATCTTCGCGATTCGAAGTTAAGTTGAGTATCATGTACGCGTGAGATCGTGCTGACGGGCTCCCTTGTGTTTTTGGTGGTTGCAGGTGGATTATCGTCACCCCTGCAGCGCGCCTCGACCGCCTCGCCTCACGGGGTCGGAGGTGTGCCACCTACGTCCCATGTGTCCTCCCAACAACCACCGCCACCACCCCTGGCAGTTTCTCTCCCTCCACGTTCCACCCCGACGCCCTCTTCGGCCACCTCGACGACTTCGAGCCTCCTCTTCCCGCACTCTCTCCAAAACGTCGAGACCTTCGGCTCCTTCCTCGGTGAAGAAATCGTCGCCAATTGGAGGCGGACGTTGGAAAAGTCTTTCATAAGTCAGCAACAGCCGCAGCAGCAACAACAACAGCAGCAGCAGCAGCAGCAGCAGCAGCAGCAGCAACAGCAACAGCAACAGCAGCAGCAGCAATCGTCGCAGCAGCAGCAACAGCAACAGCAGCAGCAACCGTTGGCTCAATTGACTCAGTTGACTCAACAGCAGTTGCAGCAAACTCAGCCGCACATGGGTTTACATCCGCCGACAACGCCAAGTAGTCTAAATCATCTTCCCTCGCCGACGGATCCGTCGTCCACCTCGAACACCCCGGCGAAGTCGAACACGCCAATCGGCACGACACCTCTAGGGAGTCTAGACGTCGCTGAAAAGGCGCCGACGCCGGTGTCGGGACACGAGACGCCGGCACCACCGACGCCATCCTCCACAACCGCCTTAACATCGCCGCCGAGCTTTCAACCGCCAACGTCGATGGTAGAAAGTAGTACCCCCTCGGCTTCTATCAACGGTGGCGGTCTCACATCCGGCGTGCCCAACGCGCCGCCACCCAAGAGCCCGGCTGACCAAGAATCATGTCATAACAATAATAACAGCCATCACCTAGCGAACAACAACATCGGCGGCCTGAGCGTCCTCGACACGCTGAAGAGTCCGTTTCGCTTCGACGACCGAACGCATCCCTTCCGATTCGGCGACGAGTTCGGGGCTGCCGGTATGGCCGGTCGGCTGGGCGAGTCACTCATTCCAAAGGGCGATCCCATGGAGGCGAGGTTGCAGGAGATGCTGCGTTACAATATGGACAAGTACGCCTCGCAAAATCTCGACACTCTTCACATAGCTAGGCGAGTGCGTGAGTTATTGTCGATACACAATATCGGACAAAGACTGTTTGCCAAGTACGTTCTCGGACTGAGTCAAGGCACTGTCAGCGAGTTACTCAGCAAACCCAAGCCCTGGGACAAGCTGACCGAAAAGGGCCGCGACAGTTATCGGAAGATGCACGGCTGGGCTTGCGACGACAACGCCGTAATGCTGCTCAAATCCCTGATCCCCAAGAAAGGTGAGTACCGATCATCGGTTCCAGCTCTCTCGTTCACTCTTTCTTTCACTTTCTATGTTTCTCTGTTCTTCTCTCGTTCTCCCACTCTTTCTCTCTCTCTCTCTCTCTCTCTCTCTCTCTCTCTCTCTCTCT